TATTTAACTCACTAGGTAATAACGGCACGTCTTAATCCATTAAAGATCTCCTTTTCCTCATCACTGAATTTGACTTTTCTATTTTTTTCTATCATCTCCGGAGTCAAATAATCAATCGCATTGATAATATATTCATCATTTTTTTTGGATACCTAAAAATATAGTGTTAGTGCCATTTTAAAAAAAATGCTATAACAAGATAGATCTTTCATCAACCTTTTCCACTTCATCGAAAAAATATTCAACAACATCTGGTATATCTGATTCAACTAATTTTACTTCTTTTTTAAAGCTTTCATTTATTTCTTCCCAGTCATCCGTTGAAAAAAAAGGTTTTATTTGGGTGTCTTCTGTTAAATCGAGAATGTTCCAGTACGCGAGGCTATAAAGAAATTCTAAGATTAAATATAATCATCACTAACTTTTATGACCTCCGCCAATTCAAAAAACTTACTTCAAACATTTATGAGCCTCAGGAATTGTCTTAACATATTTTGCTAACTCGTCTCCAACGTTGGTACCACTTTTGAGAACCCACGATCGACGAGTAGTTAGTTGATTTTCTTCTCTACGTTCTATGAAGTTATTATCACTGTCACCATCGTCGATACCATCTTTATAAACCTTGTCGTCATTACCCTTGCTTATAAAAAATTCTTCGATTTCGTTTATATCCTCCTCTTCCTGATCTTCTAAATCTTCTTCTTCACTTATATCTAAGTTGGTATTTTTTGCCGATGATTCGTCCTGTAATAAAAATTTTCACAATCGTTTAATATTTATGGCAAGTCCTTTAGTTATTTCTGAAGAGTAATAACCTTACCTTGTTTAGTGACAGCGTGTTTATTTCTTGATGAAGATTAAGATTGGTACTACGTACATTACGACGAACAAGAATCTACGTGATGCAGAATTTTATCAATGCTAGGTCAACTATCTAAAAACTAGAAACTGAACATACCGCTGTTTTCTGTTGCATCCAGGATTCCCAGTCTCCCATCATCTTTTTTTCCTATCCAAAAGAAGTTTAGTATTATATTTTACAATATAACACAAAAAATATTATTAAGTAACTTACATCCACCATTTTTTTCATTTTTTTGAGCTTATTCAGGATTTCCTGGTTATCAGTTTCACCCAAAGCCAAATCAAGCGTTTTATTATATTTTTCAGAAGCTCGAATTCGGCGTGTTGGGGATATATATTGAAAGAATGCAAGCGGGGATGGATCGGGACAAGTTAACATCCAGTTAACATGACGTTCTTGTAAAGTTATATTAACATTTCCTTTTCCCATGATGAACTTGTAAAATAAAATAAAAATAAATATCTTGTTGAACAAAAATAAATGCAGTAAACATTAAAATTGGTTGCTCTTCAAAATAAGAGCGACCACCCCTACACGGTGACTTGCCATTACTGGCTTCCGACAGTCTCCCTCTGTCGCAGACGTCTTATTTTAATTAACAACCTAATAACTTCTGTGCATTAAAGATAGGCGGCCACCCCTACACGATGACTTGCCATTACTGGCTTCCGACAGTCTCCCTCTGTCGCAGACGCATCTTCATTGCTTAACAGTAGCTATTTTTTTCTGTTGCAGGCACTAACTAAGCGAAAACTTCAACCCACCTAATTGATTGTTGTTCGAAAGACGAGATAAAGATTTATTGATTTATTTGATTTATTTCACAGGCAAACAGGTAAATATCTAGATCGTGGAATGTGACAAAAAACCGTGACAAATTGTCACGATCAGGCTAATGATTCGTGACCACTGCCGATCAACGATCAACGTGCAAAAAAAATATATCATATCAATAAAGTTTTATTCGAAATAAATATAAAAAAGCGATGTTATATATCTGTTTTTGAGATGTTTTCACACAGATATGCAGATGTAAGGGGCACTAATTAAATTTGGTAATCGGTGTATCGCATGACCAAATGATGCATGTAGATTCTATTACATTCGAATTCATTCTATGACACATATCACATGATTT